ATGCAGGAATCCATCCCTGGGCTAAATGTATTTCTTGGGGAATGATACATTTCCACAGTAAAACCTCAAGAGCACAGTGTTTGAAATCGAGGAAGAAACTATTCTATTACAAGCATTTTAAGGATACCATTTAATTATCTGTAACAAGGCAAACACACTAGTGGAAGATTCTCTGCCCATGACAGGAGGGTTAGAACTAGTTGATCTTTAAGGTCCCTTCCAACTCATACCCTTCTGTGATTCTAAATTTTGTGGATGTTTTAGATTCTGTAAAAGAATTCTGACTTTTAAGAATGACTGTCAGAAAGGAAAAATGTGGAAAATCAACTGTTTTACATAATTTCCTGCAGGGAGACAGATTACGACGTAGAGAACAGCGGCAGAGTTCAAGCAGCTTCAGTCAGATTTCTGGGACTCCTGAAACTCTAAATGTTTTCACAGTAACACATGAAAAGCAAGAGCAAAAAGAGGTAATTCTAACTTTTATCGACTTGTGGAATATGCTAGAGATTAAAACTGTCACAGATGTTCTCTCATTCAGCAATGACAGGACAGGTTGAGATTTTCTGAAGAGTAGCAAGTATAATGCCTGTGGAGGTGGCACATCTCTCTAGAGGCAGTAATAGCATGGAGGTTTGTCTCTCATCAATAGCCATGGTTAATGGTGTAACCTAATGTATAATTTTGTACAAAATAAGTAAACAGAAATTAACCAGGAAACACACTGACATTAAGCATGTCTGATACATGCTACTTGTTTCTATGGATAATTCTGTTTGCTGTCATTCTTGGATGCAAAAATTTGCTCTCTAGAAATGGTTCCTTAAGCAACCATGCTTTTTCTGATACAGAAACCCAGCTCATTCTTATGTTCCATGTCAAAAAAAGGTGGAGAATCATGGCTTGCCTCTGATGACTCAGAAAATTAAATGGAAGTTCAGCATCTTTCTGGATTACTACCCCCAAAAGTCAAACCCCATTAGCATTTTCTGGTTTTATGCACAGTTGCCAGAATTTTTCTTTGTTATATATTATTGAAATATATTTATATTTAAAAATACATTGCAGTGCCCATTAATTTAAATAATTGCATTTTTGTATATGGTGAAGATTCCCTAGGACCTTAGATTTGTGTAGAGCATCATGGCTGTCGACAGAGGAAATTCTCCCTTCTTCTGGCTTCCTATTCTTATCCCTATCCTCATGCCTTCCCTTTCCATGCCATTCAGGGCACTAACACATTATGTCTGATAGATTTCTTTACTCTTTTTTCCTTATACTTGCTTTCCTTATTGTCCTTAGTTTTATAAGCATGTAGGTTACCTACCAGTAACTACAATTCTTTGAGATGTGCAGACCTGTAGTGGGTTGACCCTGGCCAGATACCAAATACCCACTAAAGCCGTTCTCTCACTCTCCCTCTGCAACTGGACAGAAGAGAGAGAAAAAAAAAAACAGCCAAGGATTCATGAGTTGAGGTAACAACTGGGAGAGGTCAGTGACTGATCACCTTCACGAGCAAAACAGACTTAAAGTCCAAGCCCCCTCCTCCCACATCTCACCCCAGTGTGAGATGGGTTTTCCAGACACAACGCAAGACTCAATGTGGGGGGAAGGGAATTATATTACAATCACTACACAAATAAATATTATAATACATTATATATACAATCTTAACTATCTTTCCTATGATAAAGCAGTATTTACAATGGATCAAATCTCTTTTCCCTCCAATAAAAGTCCAGAAGGGAAGAAGGAAAAGATCCTTTCCATTCTCAGAGCAGCAGTCTCTCTTTTTCCATGCAGCAGCTGTAGCTGGTTTGTTGTAGCTGGATCTCTTTCTAATACACACAAGGGGGTCTCCTCTCACCTCTCTCGGCCCTTCAACTCCAAGTGAAGGTCTCTCTCTTCTGTGGACTGCGATAGCAGGGACAGGCTCGCTTCACCACATCATATCATGAAGTGCAGGGGTCTTCGTGATGGTCCCTTTCCTCAGGGGATTCAAGCTCCCTTCAGTCAGAATGTTAGGGCAGCTTTCAGTTGAAAGGCTTTGCCTCAAGCGTTCCATCAGAGCTCCTGTGCTCTGTCTCAGGCTGCCAGCCTGGCAGCAGCGGGGGGCAAGGTCACCCCCTCCGCATTCCATCTTGCCATCCCGGTCCAGCTTCCAGGATGTCTGAGCTTCTTAGCTCCTCTCTCCGGTGCTGCTGCATTCCAAGATTCCTCTCAAGTGTTAGTCCACTACCCCTCCTCTCTAGGAGGTCTCAAAGGGGTTTTGGGGGATTTTTGATTTAGTTCTTACCCCAAAACTCTCTCTCCATAAGACATCTCTGTGTCTTCCTTGGCTGCATGTTGTCTGTGCTGCTGCTTCTTATCTCTTGACTTTCTGCCACTGTTCTCCATTTGCTGCTGCTCTGCCTCCACTTTTCAGTATCTCCTGCTGCTGCTCACAGTGGAGAAACTCCTCCAGCTCTCAGCTACAGAACTCGGCCCAGTTTAACACTGTTGCAAGTTTCTGCAACTCCATCTGGGGGGCTGAGGGGCCGTGGCCCCCCAGTGGGGCTCCTGCCCCTTCTCCTCATGGCTTCACAACATGGCCACTCTCTCCAACTACAACTTCATCATCCTTCTTTTCTGGTCTGGTGTGATATGTTTTAATTTTGCAGGAGCTCTGATTGAGTCAACACCAAGAGAGACACCACCCCCTTGGGGGTTACTTTTTTTTTAACTCCAGGGGGAAAAAAACCACTTTTTTTTTTCCCACCACAGGATAGTACTTAGATTTATTACTAACTGGATAAGAACCAAAGAGTGAGAAATAAAACAGTCTTAAAATCACCTTCTCCCCACCCCTCCTTCCCTCCATGTTCTCCCTCCTCCCCCCCAGTGGTGCAGGGGGATGGGGAATGGGGGTCACGGTCAGTTGTTGTTTCTGCCACTGCTCAGGGAGAGGAGTTGGAGTCCTTCCCCTGCTCCCGTGGGGTCCCTCCCACAGGAGACAGTCCTTGATGGACCTCTCTGGTGTGAGTCCATCTCTTGGGCAGCAGCTCTTCCCAAGCTGCTGTCCCATGGGAACTTATTAAATTAAAAGCATGGAAGCAAAAGTAGGGATTGGCTTTTTCTGTCCTATTATTTGTAGTTTTAATTTGATAGTTCAGCAACAGTAAGGTAATTTATAGACTGCAGAATTCTTTTTGGGGAGGGGGGCAGGGGGATGATAAATTTCATTTATTTTTGATTTTTTAACCTTATTAATGAAAAGCAAATAATTTCTCCTCTTTCTCCTTCTCCCATGCAGAAATGTGGTGCTGCTCACAGCTTTTCTGAAGCCAGCAGTGTGGATCCGGCTGTTGGTCTGGAGATGTTTTCCCAGACTGAAAACTCACACCTGCCTAAGGACTGTTTTGGAGAAAGTAGGAATCTTTTCTGTATTGTGCTAACACCAAATGAACCAGTGTTAAAAAGTATCCACTTGGAACATGTCCAAATTAGCAGAATCTGTTTTCCTGCTCATCCCAGTGTTGACATCTGCCTTTGATTACCTGACCATCTCCTTAGGCTCCATTGACTCTCATGCTTTATCCTGCTACCTTTTCAGATTCATGAAGAGTGTTTCTGATGCAAAGCAGTGAACAGGGAGTGTAATTGTAATATCTCTGCAGTGGAATAAAGTGTAATAATCAGTAAAAATAATAATTGACTAACCTACTAGTAAGATACTCTCTCTTTTCAAAACAAAAAGGAGAATGCAGAAAATAAACATTTTTTTAGATAGAAGTAAAGTCTTTTTTTGTTGTGCCCGCCAGCCTTTCTGCAGAAGGGCACAAAAGCAACTCTCTTTTTCCCATGTATGAGTTGCTCTATTAAAAGAGATTAATTTTGCATACAAGTTTTTTCTTTTCTTTAGCTTTAGATCATTTCAACCACAGCATCACCTCATAGGTAAAACAGCACATTCTTTCTCTAGTCTGTAGAAGTTCTCTTTAAGATGTCCTATACTTTTTTGATTTCATGTCTCAGCATTTTCCATGGAACCAATATACTGTTCTTTCTCTTTTCAGATTGTGGTAAATGTTTCCCATGTTGTGTAGTGGATATCACCAAGTTTCCAGGCAGAAATTGGTGGAACTTGAGGAAAACCTGCTACAGAATTGTTAACCATAGCGGGTTTGAGTATTTTATGGTTTTTGTGATAGTATTGAGCAGTGCAGCACTGGTAAATTGCATTTAATTTCTCTAATTTTGAATAGATTGTTGCCAGTAAAGGAAAATAATAGTATTTAATTGTTTTTTCTACTCTGACCTTCCTTCCCACAGGGAGAGAGAAAAGTGTAGTAAATGTATCCCTTAAAAGCGATAAGGCTTTCCCCCACTTAGATAAGATATTTAAATATATGGATTTAACTAAATGGAATTGTAGTTTTTCATGGAACATAGTTCTTCATACACTTGTGTGTTAATTACAAGGCTAAACCAGAGTCTGATATTAGTTTGCACTTTTAAATAAAATAATAACACTTCTACAGGTTTAAAGCATTTTCAAAACATTATGATTAGAATCTAAACGTGAAGTTGGCTGTAAACTCATAGGTGAGGTAACTTCATTGCTACCCTGATCAGACCCATTTCTACTCAAGAATAAGAGAACTTTTATGATTTGAAAGCATATTCACTGTCTACTAAAAGTAATTTGTTAAACGAAATATTTTATAATGCAGAAGGAACATAAACAAATAGTCTGAAAGGGATCTATGTGGTAAATATCAGAATTTTCCAAATCAAATCTGCTCTGTGTACGTTAAGTTCAGGTTGGTCACTGAACCGTAGATTTAAACTGTCTGCTTTTAAATTCCCATGGCAAAGTGTCCAAGGGAAATCCCTGGGATTCCTGTGAGGGCTCCTCTCTATTCATGTGGAACCAAGCTGAAGTAAGGAAGGAAACTGAGTTATTCTTTAATGTCCTCTAGGTTCTGACTAAGTTGAACACAAAGCTAATTGATACCCAGGTGCAAAAATTACACAAAACAACATTTTCTTGTCATCAAAGATGTTTAGCAGTGAGAACTTTCACCTTTCTAAGATATTGTTGTCCTTTTGCAAAAAGAGACTTGTCCATTTTTTGTTCATTTGTTTTCTTTGTTTATAAAGTTGTATGCTGATAGGGAATTTTCTGGACCAGTTAGAACAAAGGGACACCATGGTGTCCTTGCCTTGAAAGGAAATTAAATGAGATGGTGATCACAAACAGAATGCACAGAAAAGTCCTTGGTAAATGCTCAGTGCTCAGAGCAAAGGAAGAGTAGTTAGGAACTTAAGTAGATTCTAACTTTTTAAGGTAGCAGC